TCTCAAAAAGAAAATGAGCAAGGAACTGCACCACAGCAACAATCCTCCCGACATTCAGGAAAAGGTCCAACTAGGCAAACGTGTGGAATGGGAAACGATTCTGTCCAAGCCTAATTCGGTAAAGATCCACTATGGAGCAAAAGCCGATCGCATTCGAAAAGAGGAAGACCATCGTTTCATAGGGAGTAGATTCGTGTTGACTCGAAAGCCGCTCGAAGAAGGTATGGATTTGGACCCAAATGACAGCACCACATTCACGGTAAAGGGCAGATGGTGTCTACAGGGGCACTTGGACCCGGATTTGTCTCAGAAGGCCGAACAGGGCCTGTTGAAGTCCCCTACCTTAAGTCAACTAGGCCGGATGTGTTTGTTTCAGACGATTGCATCAAAGGGCTGGGTACTTCAGTTAGGCGATATAAAAGGCGCGTTCCTAGAGGCAGGTCCACTGAACGATGCGTTTCGCCCACTCTACGCACGCCAACCACCTGGTGGCATCCCCGGCCTTCCTGAATCAGCAGTGATAGAAGTGCTCGGAAATATCTACGGACAGAACGACGCTCCGGCGTCCTGGTTCAAAGAATTTAGTTCGTATGTAAAGGGGTTGAACTGGTATCAGAGTGTTCTAGACCCGTGCCTGTTCACGCTTCGAGATGAAGCAGGAGCCTTGGTGGGGATCATGGGCGTGCACGTGGATGATACAGCAGTAGGTGGACATGGACCGGTTTTCGAGGCCTCAATCAAGAAACTTCGTACTAGATTCCCATATAGAAAATGGCGAATAAGCACAGGTGAGTTTTGTGGTGCCTGGTACTCCCAAACCAAAGATGGGGCAATTCGAATGGACATGAACGCTTTTGCCGACAAGATGCGATCAATCAATGTGCCAAAGAATAGTGCACCAGGTGATCCTTTGACCGACAGTCAAGTCAAAGTGCTGCGTGCCGTGAATGGCAGTCTCGGATGGTTGTCATCTCAGTCACGCCCGGACATCAGCGTCCAGACTAGTCTGTCCCAACAGGCCTTTCCAAAGCCGACGATCGAAGACTTTCGGATGGCAAATCAGGCGATCAGAAGAGCTAAACAGCATAGTGAGTTGGGAGTTGTGTTCAAATCAATTGACCCAGACCAACTGACACTGGTATGCCACAGTGATGCAGCATTTGCTAATAGGGGAAATCATACTCAGGCTGGATATATCATTGGATTCACTCACGCATCCCTGCAAGACGGATTGGAATCAACCTGGTGTCCAGCATCATGGAAGAGTTATAAACTCCCTAGAGCAGTGAGCAGTACCATGTCAGCCGAGAGTCAAGCACTTGCCACGGCCACTGGGACCACTGAATGGCTACTTTTGATGTTGGCTGAGATTTTTGACGGCCCGCTGACAATGCGATCCTGTCGAGACGTGCTGAAAAGACGCCGACCGATCATCGTGACAGATTGCAAGAGCCTGTACGATCACTTGCATTCTCCTTCTGCCCCCACATCAATCGATGACCGCCGAACCAGTATAGATGTGGTAATAATCCGAGAGAGCTGTAGGGCCATGAATGCTTTTGTGCGGTGGGTACCCACAAATCGAATGCTCGCTGATGCACTCACCAAAAACGATGGAGATCCAATAGACTTGCTTGGATCTTGTATGAAATCTCGCCCGAAGAAACTGTATTGAAGCATCAAGCACGAGAAAAGGAGTTTCGTAAGAATCTTCAGGCAAACTGTGCCGCTCCGTCGCCTCCAAGCCGGATAGGGGAAGAGACAGATCATGAGTGATCTGCATTTTTGGGGTTTAGAGTTCGCATTGATTGTTTGGGAAGTCACTGTGATCAGTGAAGGGAATCAATGTTCTTTTTGCCGGCTTCGACCTTAGAATGCAGCAGGTTGTGTCTGTGGCCATTTTGCATCCAGAATTTCAGTGTTCGTATCACGCCGTCTCACGACTAGACCGGGTGTTGTGTTTTGCAGTTTCCTCCCGACCTAGACATGGCCGGTGCTCCAGCTCAGTTGTCCACAGTGGCTAAGGAGCTCTTGACTAAGGTGAAGGAAGAAGGTTCGGTCCATCTGTTGCTGAACGCTTTGATGGAGCACGAAACCAGTGAATTTGAGTTTGTGCCCTCTGCTGGATACAGCCTGGACAGTGGTGCCATGAATGACTCGTCCAAGCGTCGCCTGACCGCTGACTCGAGTCAGGCCCCACATGTGCATTCCCAGAGGCCGATCGTGAAGATGAGCTCCCAGGACCAGGGATCGATTCCTCTCCCCAAGGGCATCACCTCGATGGACCATTGGGGTAAGACCTTGATCACTTCAGGAAAGCTGTCTAAGCAGAACCTCAGCTATGAAGACCTTGCAAGTTCACCTGAGACGGATTTGGTGAACTACAGTCGATGGCTCATGGCGCAGAAAGACCGCACCAACATGTCGCCACCCATCAAGGACCTCATTGCCTACTTGCTGGCTTACACGGAGTTGGCTGAGGGGTCGACTGAACGATTCCCAGACAGCACGATCCCACGGAAGTTCAAGAGTTGAACTGCCGACGATTTGAGCTGGACATGAGATGGCTGCATAGCTTCATGTGCTCCTACATCCAAAGATTATTATGAAGGCGGAGAATGTACCCGTAAGAGCCATTTTTGGAATTTGAAGATTTGAGACCAGTCATTTTGTCCACCCGTGACATGTCGTGACCCCGGAGGGACCTTCGGCTTGAGGAAAGAAGAGCCCGCTCGGCGCCCCGCGGTTGGGGCGGACACTCCGCAATATATATATTTTTTTTGATGCCTTTTGTTGAGACATCGACTCCACTTGGCTCGCACAAAAGGAACCGAGAACTGAGTGGCTGGCTAGATTGATGCGGTCCGTGGCAAGAAATTTACAGGCTAGGTTCTTGGAAACAAACACCGCAAGAACCAACCGTGTGCATGCTCATTCTGTCGTGCAGTGGCTGAGATCGTCACAGAAGAAAGTTATTGGGAGAACTGTAAGTCTTAAAGCCAAAGTAGATTCCTGCAAGCGATAAGCAACAGGGTTGGTTTCTTTAAATACCTGCAGCAACGATGCTGGCTCTCCTCAGCTGTGTCTATCCCAACACCCAACGCCTGACGATGTCTCTGCTGCTGTCCAGGCCCACAGGTGCGGTCACAGGAATCCCAGGCAGACCTGTGAGAAGGGATGGTGACGACACAGAAGGGATGCGGAACGAGTTTGGAACCCGTGTGGGTTACTGACACATGCATTTGTCACCCCTCTCTTTCAATTTTCTTGGAGCTTCACGTGTTGGAATGGTGCAGATATTGATTATTATCAAAGGGACATTGCCAGAAAGCACATTATTTTTGAAAAAGACTGTAGATTGGCACAACCCTCCTAGCAGTTAGCATGACTGAAAGCTTCACACTTCTTGCAGGTAGAAATCACCAAGCCACGAGGTCACCATCAGTGATCATCCCAACTCATTGTACTATCAAAACAGTGTTTGTGCCACAAGTTCTCTTCTGTTTCTGAGACACCAGCCATTCAGACACCTCGCAATCTGTGCGAGCATCGGCGCAAGGCCTTGGTGGCTTGCAACATGTCATGAAGTGGCAGGGGTCTTGATAAGGCTTTCCTCGTCCTTCACTTGATGATGTCATTTCCAAAGCTGAGAGGCCTAGATTAGACTGGACTTTTGTTGCTGAAACTGTCATGAGCAATCCTTTCGCGCCCATCAGGCATCCAGGCTTGCAGTACTATATACACCCTCAACCCCCTTCAGCGCCCAGCGCAGTTTCCTTCATGGGTACAAATCCATCATAGTCTGCTCCACATGGCCTCTGTGTCGACAGGAATTGGCCACTGTCGGGACATCTGAACTTGGTGGCATTGTCCAGGTTCTGTTTGTAATGCTTGTTCTTTGGTTTGTGTTTGACGGAAAAAAAAAAACTAGGTCCACGTCTGGCCCTTGATTTGTTATCACTTCGCTACATAGATAGATAAATTGGAATACCTCATTTAGTAGGTGTATCGATGCACACACAGTGTAGGATTGAAGGAGTAGCGACAACTGAGTTCCGGGCTGCCCCCCAGAGGAAGCTGGTCGGGTCACCACACGAGTGCGCGACCTAGCCGAGCAGACTCTAAGCGTGTTCTTTTCGAACGCATTGCTTTTTTTTTAAGTAGCTTCAGTAAGCTCTGAGGTAGGACGCAGGATAGCTCACGCTCGCACGAATCATTTGGTTCCTAACGATGACTGGAACGCGGCTCTCGCCTCTGGTTTCCTCCCCAGCAGGACGTCCAGGTGCTCCACGCACCCAACTCACAATCACTCTCCTGGTGCAGTGAGTGAATCCAAGTTGGGCCGTAGCTGAAACTAACCCTTTCATATCCTTTCATATCCATCAAAACGGGTGGTTTGCCATGGACCACAAGAGTTGCGTAGAAGCGTAGAACTGATGGGTCCGGTTATAAAAGATCGATGTACTTTGGAGGTCTCACAGAACATCTGTCAAGTACTTGTGGCTTAAGGGCTTCCACTAGACCTGGCCATTAACCAAAAAGGGTTTGGTGGATTCCAGGTGGATCTCCTCACAAGCGAAGTCTCCGCAAGGGCGGCCCTCGGACAAGTCACCCAGGCCTCAGCCACTGCCGTCGCTTTCGGCTTCAGGACGGGAACCATGAAGCATCTGTGTTTTCTAGCTTTCATCAACCTAATAGCGATGGCCTCCAACCTAACGCCAGAAAAATCGTAGATTGATCTTAGAGTACAGATCCTCTGGCAACTGTTGAAGTTCTTGCTGAATATTGTGCATAGAGGTTGTACCGTTTGGCTCTGGTGGCACTTAGCTTTGTCGATGTCAGAAACAGGCCTTTCAAATCCATCTCATCCCAGATCCAGGTTCGATAAGATTTAAAATATGTACAGTACCATAACTTTTTTCCGCGAAGCTTGTTCAGATCTGTTTCCACCGGCTCTGGTGATAACTATAATACCATAATAATTTTGTCCATCTCTCGAATCAATAGGTGGAGCTGAAAAGCCACACCAAAGTGTTCCAATTGTCTGCCCCTGATGCATCTGGGTGCCCTACATGGCCGTCCACCATTCCGAGCTTGATCTTGGATGCCGCGTTGACGCTGCTGCCATCCGCCTGCAGGTGTGGGGCATAGGAAAAAGCGAAACAAATGAGTGATTGGCCTGGTCCAGCTATCGTGGCTTGGCGTGTGACACGGCAAAGGAATGAGACAGGTAATGTGTTGGAGTTGGCGGAACCCAAGTGTGGCCAAGGGAAGTGAGTTGCTCCTAGTAGCGAACGTTGGCCAGGAGCTCCTAGTAGCGTCGTTGCTCCTAGTAGCGATGCCCTTTGCTCCTAGTAGCGAACGTTGCTCCTAGGCCATAAGGAATTTATCATCGAGGTCTACTGGCCTCCACAGGTTCGGCTGCAACCAACCCAGGTAGACCTCGGCAAAGTCACTGCCAAACGGCAAGCAGATTAGTGGAAGGCATCAACCCTCGAGTTATCCCGAGTTGCTCTGGATCTCTATACCAAAAGAGCTCGCCCAGAGGTTCCGCCAACAAAAGTAGCTGTCCTCTGCCTGATTCCCAGCAAAGCTGGAGGCTCTAGTTGCTATCATTAGGCTGGTGTGGAACAAAGATTGAGTATTGGAATTGGAAGGCCCACATGATAACCTGGCACCGGCACCTGCATCCAAGCTCAACTGTCTGCAACCCCTCACATGAGGGAAGCCACTCAAGGGACTTGGAAATAATGAAAATCATATAGCAAACTCACTCATTATCGCCTGCAGAAACATGGGGTCTGGGTTTGAGAGTTTGAGCTATGCAGCTGTGCACTCACTCAACGGCCTCAAGTGTTCATCAGGCTGTAGCAACAAAATCAGACAGCCAAGTGCAAGACCATGGCATCAGAATACAATCCACTGGAGTCTTCTCCTGCCAGATCCAAGGCTCAATGATGAGAATGGCGTGGGCGGTACGAAGACAAAGCATTGCACCGAAACTTTGGGTGTAGGGGGATGTGAAGATATATGAAATAGTAACTATCCTGTCAAACTATTTATGTTATTCAGTGATGAGAGCATCTCCCTAGCAAGCTTGAAAAAAATCCCTTCGGATAGGATAGGCTCAGAAGGTAAAAACATGGCCGTCTGGAAGGGGATGAATATACAGTGTAATACAGTAATATTCAATTAGCAGAGATTAATCGTTGGCAGGGCAGGAGAGGCGACCCAAGATGCGCCTCCCAGAGGTCCAGAAAGAATAAACCTATTGGGAGGGTGCCAGCCCTATATTTATCCGGGGACACCCACCACAAACACATTGCACTCTGATAATCACACTCCAGCTAAATGGTGGAAGACTATGTGACGGGGTGGTTTTCCACTTCCATGATAGTGAGTTGCAAAACTAGGAGCAAGGACGCTACTAGGGGCTCCTGGTAGGAGCAAGAAGCTACTAGTAACAAGGGCATCGCTACTAGGAGCACCTCCTCCCAACTCCTCCCTCACCCCAAGTCACACTCGGCTCCCAGGCCGGGCTCGCCACGCCATCCACTTCGCGGAGGTCGCCACGACCTTCAAAAAGCGGAACGGATGAAGAGCGGAACGGCTGACGCTGAATCATGCTGAATCATGGAACTTCAATTGATGGGGTTTTCTTTAACTAGGAGCAAGGACGCTACTAGGGCTCCTGGCCTCGCTACTAGTAACAAGGACGCTACTAGGAACAAATTTGAGGCTCGAAAGGAATGAACAGGATTGAAGATCACAGAATGAGAAGTCGCTCAGAATTGCTGCCCAGCAAATGAGGAAAAGAGGAACGCCTTCGGAAAGCTTCGGAAAGCACATTATGGTTGGTAAAGAAAGAGCGCGAAGCTTTCTAGGTCAGAGTACGTGACTTGGAACACCAATCAAGGTGTGTTTCTTTCATGTTCATCAAAACTCTTGGGTATCCGACACAACTGCCCACCGTTCTTGGGCAACTGTGCCACCTCTCGGGAGCGATACCTGGAGCAAGACTAGTAGCACTAGTGGCACTAGTAGCAAGTACATCGCTACTAGTAACAAGGGCATCTACTAGGAGCAAGAAGCTACCAGTAGCTCCTGGCCTTACTACTAGTAACAAGAAGCTACTAGGGGCTCCTGACCTTACTACTAGTAACAAGGACGCTACTAGGAGCGATGCACTTGTTAGTAGCTTCTTGGCTAGACTGCACTTGATATGCCAGACTTGGGGTTGCTTCTTTGGATCCGAACCAGCTCATGTCCAGCACATGATTCCGGCTTCTTATAGGAAGCTCATCCAAACCAATACTTGTAGCCATATCATATCATATGCAAGGGGCCCCGGCCCAAGTGAAGTGTGACTGGAACCTTCATAGCTTCAAACAACTGGCTCGACTTATTGTGGGACATTTCCCACCACCAGTGAGCTCTTTGTGACAAGAGTCCAGCGTAAATTACAGATCAAAGTGGACCTAGCTTCAGCCATAGGCAGCTGCATCTTCGCTGGCCTCTGTCCTGAATCATCCATGCGATCCAACTGTGTCCAATGGGTCCAAGCACGATACTCCTTGGAACGGGCATGGCAGCGGGGCGTGGGTTCACAAGGTCGCATGTGTCCAAGTACTCTATTTTATATCTTGCAAGAAGGCCAAGCACATTGTAGAACGTCTTCCCAAATCAATCATGGACATGCACACTGCCACAGTAGTTCAATATGTAGTCCAAAACTGCCGCCATGCCATGCATGTGAAAACATCATGTTTTCCTGTGAGAGCAGGCACCATTGGATGTCTCATGTGGCCCTTTCCCAAGCCAAGAAACGCAGTCTCTGACTTCAGTGCACTCTTCCAAGCACCTTTCGTGGACATGTTGCTTGCGAGATCTGGAAGGATTTGCTGACAAGTGTTACTCAATGCATATGTCGCGTTCAAAAGCAACATATACAATATAAATGATCCTTGCAACATTGCTAAGAATGCTCCAGAGTGCACGAGTGCTCCGGACTCGAATAAAATGACTTTAGAGGAGCATCGACTCGTCTATGTTACAGACGGAAATCGTCATGTTCAGATATATCCAAAGCTTCCGAGTGTAAAGGTGTTCTGCTCCTTCAACCAAGGCAGAGTGAACACCTCAAAAAAAAATATATATATATGTATCATATGTATCTATGCTCTTTGGGCAGGAGGATTTGGGTGGAGATGCTGCATTCCAGCAAACTTTCTGAATTGAGCTAATCTCAAGCAGGGGCCTTTTCCTTGGGTCTTGGAGGGAAGTCTGCCTTGAGGCGTAGAGGTCGAGGTTATATAATGTTCAAGCATCAAGGCCAATGGCAAAAGATCAAAAAGTGGAATCGTGATTCGTGATTCTTGATGCTGATTCTCATATTGGAGCTGCCAGCTTAAAGGTGTAACAAACAAAAGCAACTCATGTGTTCAGCTTGACTGTACAGCCTGTACGTACAAAAACAAACATCTGTTGGTGCTGTACAGCTCTCCGGATTCTGTACAGCTCCCGATTTGGTTGCACTAACGACACAGGTGTCAGGACATGGTCTTTCTTGCTCTCGTGGCACCCGAGGTTGCAGAACAAGGCCCAATTGAGTTCGACCACAAAAATACTGCGTGGTGTTCATGACCCCAGTCACCCCAGCGTGTTCTCATTTATATATATATAATTACATAATTGTCCCCCAGTCACCCTGGTCACCCACAACTGCACCTCTTGGTTGACACCAGCGCTCCATTACACGGCCTTCCACACCTGAGATCACGCGGTTTTCGAGTGTGGGGTGAGACCGAATTCCTCTTCAAACAATGTAACTAAATAAGACGACCAAGACTTACCACAAGTCAGCTACAGCCCCAACTGGACACCTGACTGAGCGTCCCCACTCGTTATTCATCACTGAGATACTGCGTGACCTGGCACACATTCCGTGTGTCCGGCAGAGGACATGACCATGCAACGACGGGTCATTGAAGCAAACACTTCGTGATCCACTTGAATGTTCAATTTCAACCTGATAGAAGAACCCCCCGGTGCGCCTCGTGCAAAGCCCAATGCAGGTCGGCTGGTGCCTCGGCTTGTTTGGGACATGTGTAGGGTCGGATCAGAATCACCTATTCTCCATTGCTCTCAGGCCCAACTAACTACACCGTGACACACGGAAAGACATCTGATCATCGGCATCCGTTGTGACCATGTTATACAAAGGTATGAACCCATCGTCAGAGTCCTGTGGGACTGCTCTTAAACTGTTCCTGTGGGCCCAGACCAACACTCCTGAGGATGTGGCCATGGGCTCCAAGCTGAAAACTGGCAGTTCTTTGGGACACACTGGTTCTGGCAAGGCCTCAGCATAACGGTCATTCACTTTACATTGCAACAAATCCTCGGCCTACAGTAAACGCAGCACTGATCTGTACATTCTGTCTTTTGCCTCGAAGGCGTCAAAGAGATTATTTTGGTGTGTTTACAAACATCAGAATCATACTTTCAAGAGACCATGTAAAGCTAAGGAGTAGTTTAATATACAAGCTGAAGACTGCCATTTTGTAAATCTTCTTCTAAAGGTGCATCCTCTTGGTAGGGCAACCCGTAACCCGTCACGTGCAACCCAGATCAGCGGTCCCGGCACGGTGGCACAGGCTTCGGTGTCCGTTTGCGTACCAGCCTTAGTGTGCTCAAAAATCTGCCCATGTTGATCTGATCCCCAAGTAATCGTTAACAACGTTAACAAGTGTGTTTTGACTATACGACTATCTGGTGTGTGCCTGTGAGAAATTGAAACAAGTTTGCTCCCAGCTCACTGACAGGATCCATCAAAGGGTCCCCCTACGCACAAGCCGGCGTTGGTGTCGGAAGCCACCTCCAATCATCAGAGGACACATGTCATGTGAATCATCGGCGTGTCGTTGGGGGACTATACCATAATCATATTATATCATATTATGTTGCAATCATTACATTGACAGGCTTCGATAGATTCCCTTGAACATGGTCTAAGTTTGCGGTCAAACCCCCCTTCTGATGGTGCATGGAATTCTCGGTGCTTCAGTCAATCGGCTCAACTTAGGAAGGAAAAAAGCGACCCCCCACACCAACTTCTTGCCTTGAAGAGGAAATCCATGGGCTGATTAGCGACCAAGCCTGTCACAGAAATGTATAGTCGGACACAAGGGATTGCATTTGATGCACAGTATTGGAATGGATTCTACAATGAGGTTGTGACTGGAAGTCAGAATCCAACTTATGCATGCACAGTCATGCACACATGGACTTGAACAGTGGTACATCACAACTGCCGGAAATCTTGACAAGGTGCTCGTTTGCTCACCCCACATCTAGCCGTGACAACTTGATAAAGTCATAAAGTCCGTTCAGTACTGGAGTGTTAGCTGCACATCAGGTGTCTGCAATGCCTAGGGATCGCTCTCGCAACCGTGTGGCAGGACCACAGTCTGCACTGCACCTCAGCGAATCATCACAGGTACGAAAGAAATGGAAGCTCCCGTCGAATGATCAAATGGCATGTGTCACGCGATATGAGCCACACCACCCAGTGATTCAGCTCTGCGGCGGTTTTTACACCTCATGCTCATGCTCTGTCTGTTATCCAAACTGACCCAGGTAACGCACGGAATGGATGCTGAGAAAGTGACCCAGTCCAAGAGGTCCAAGGCTTCCAAACGCAGAAGCTGAACTGAGAATCAGTGGCAGTCAAAGAGGAACTTCAAGCGGATTGATAGAACATGAGGACTCCAAAACTGCTCGAACGACGGGAACACAAAGCAAATCCTGGATTTAAATGGGGAAACCCTTATCCACTGTAAATACTAAATACCATCGGGCCGATCCATGGTACAGGATGCTCTTCACTAGCCCGAGAATGCTCCCCCATGTTTTAATAGAACGACTGTCCCATCTCCCATCCACCATACATCAGGGTCAGAGAGCCAGGCGGTTGCTGCACCAGCCCTATTCAGCCACATGCCCCTGCCTGCTGATCCTACACGTGAAAAAGTAAAGCTTCGAAGTAGAATCATCCACACCTGGATCTTCTTTCTGTTTTTCCTTCGAAATGCATTTGGTTTCCTAATCTTTGAGCCACTGTTTTTCTGTTCGACGTGGAGGGTGATCAAGGATCCGCCACCGACACGGCCGACCGCTTGAAGACGTTCCCCATAATCCCACTCGATCCTGTTTGTGCATGTTTGTGCCCTAAAGAAACTTTCTCTTGAGTCACTTCATATCACCTCGTGCCGCAACTCATGCCTCGCCTTCTCGCAATCACTGGTGCAGTTCTGGACCTGCCGTGTGGCCAGAGTTTTGAGTCAGACCTCAAAACTGTCCCCCAAGTCCCACGTTGGGAGAAGAATCGTCAGATTCTAACGATACATACGGGAACTCTCCGGAACCAAAGACATGTGCTCAACCCACGTGTGCTCCAAGACATGGAGTCCTTGCAGAAACACCTGCATATGGCGGGTCAACCAGTCAGAGTACACCACCCATGTTGAAGCCTGAAAATGAATTATTGGGAACCCTGATTTACCAGTTGATCGAGTTGATACTGGTTGTTTTGCTTGACCAACGGACACAACGGAGGGGATCGTTTGCACTCTTTGCCATCTTCACTCCTTGTATAGTATGGGAGGGCGTGGAATCTACAGATTTTCCTGGAGAGGAAGGTCCTTTGCAGATTGCCAAAAAGGGAACACGTGGGCGTATACTGGCGTATACTGCCCGGGGTCTTATTTTTTGCGGAACTGCCCTGGGTTTACCTCTCTAGGAAAAGCTGTCAATAGAACATAACATACAACAATAACATGTATCACAATGTAAATGGTAATCTGTAACCAATCACTGCAACCAGTTACATCATATAATGTCGTGTGATAAGCGTTTGGGACTATTGGTTCCGAACTGAACAAAAGTCCCCACGACGTGGGCATGGCTCAAAGGTCGGCTATTGGAAAAATGGGAAGACCCAACTACGACGACGACGACCAGTAATTCCCTGGGTCTTGTTTTTTGAGCGCCATATCATGTGTATGGAGTCTGCGTGCAAATAGATACTGCCGTGGTTCATAGTGTTTCATAGTGTTTCATAGTGTTTCTAGATGTTTCTAGTTTCTCAACATGTTCTGTGCCAGTCTGCAGCTTGAGGTTTTTACTATGGAGGCGCTGCATCATCGCGCCTCCTTGGCAATGCGTGGCTCGCACCTGGGTGGGGGTGGAAGCTGCCGCTCAAGCATTCCAATGCTGCAGAGACTACTTGTGCAAAAGGCTGTGTTGAATTTCCCGCTCAGGCTTCAAGGACACTCCCTAAGAAGCTACTTGTTCGCTTATTAAGCCAGCTACTTGCTACTTCTACCTCCTTGACCTGGCTACTGGCTACTCTTGTTCGCCTCACGGCCTACCCCGCAAATGTGCCGTTCCAAAAGGTTGTGGTTTCTTTTTTATAGCACGTACTTAATTAAGGGAGTAGTTCGCTACTAGCAATATTCTAACTGGAAGCAGGATAGCGCATGCTTCTTCAAGGAAGCTCCTCGTGTGTGAGGGGGAGCTTCCTTGAAGAAGCGCTCGCACTAATGATTTGGTTCCTAGAATTTTAGGAAAACTTATCTTGTTTGCTTCAAAGGGTTTGAAGCAGTCCCGCCATGTGCACAAAGGTGCGGCTGAGCCCTGTCTTGACATGATCCAGCTCCGAGTATTGCGGATCAGCATGAGGCAGAAGGCACAAAATGTCTTTAAACTTTAGAATATTGTTAGACTCTGATATTGAGCCACTTTACAAAACTCTCTCTCCACTAACACAGTGAACCACCAAAAGTCTAGTCAATGAGTCAATGACCCAAATAGCTTCGTTCCTCTTGGGGGGACCTCATCTCGTAACTGGGGCAGCCCTGCATCTTGCCACAGTGGTTCGGCAACTTGAGGATGTCGCGTTGCCGAAAACGCCTTGCAACTGGAGGCTATGGTCAGGTCAGTTGGTTTCTTCCTGTGTTGCAGTGGGAAGATCCCAAGGCCGACGAGACAAAACATGCATCAATCTGGGGACAGGCAAGCTCTCCTAGCATGTCCAGCTGCAGTCTAGCGAGTCACTCCCGCAGAATGAAACTCCCATACTGACTGTAATTTCTCATAGTTTCTTTGGTGTCCAGTATGGTCAGAGGAACAATCGGCCAAAGTTTTTTTTGTGACACAGAGAACCTCCCACTGAGGCCATAGCTGGTCTCCACACTTGGAGCAAGCGCCCCATTCAGCCCAAGCACCCCAGAGGCAGTCGACCTCAAAGCCCAGATCGAGCTCAGTCTCGGTCTCCGAGGTGCAGAAAAGACGCATGAGAAGAACCAACATACGCATCATACATCCAACATACGCAGTGGCTTCTCCTTCCAGGATCTATACATGACACGAACTCGGTATATCTCCTCATGGATGGATCCGAACAAGCCAAACATGGGTGAAGAGAATAACATGTTCCCGGTGACAATAAGCCAACATTAAGCCATGAAGCCAGGTGCGGTGCGTCTTTGTGCCCCGATCCTGTGGCCTAGTAGTCTTGAACTTCATGCCCCTGCGGACCACCCAATCGGAAAGCATCATCCAGTCTCGATGCCTCAAGCTGAGACCCCCGGCACATCCTTCCCCGCAGGGAGCTTCACCACAAGGCTTCCTGGCGGATGAAGAGGGTCGCCGGGCTAGAATGCACACATATAACTATATAACTACCTTGAAAAAGACGGGTTCCGAATGGTTCCGAGACCTGAAATATATTTGTATATAACGGGTAATATAACTATATAGTTTCTTTTTGCTTGAATGGCTGGAAATGGCTGGACTGCGGCCAATGGCGCAAACGCGACGGGCGGACGTTTCTCGCAAAGCTCCGAGACACGGTCGACCACTGTTGGACGCAGGTGTGAAGATGTAGCGCAACCTGGAAGGACTGTCTCTGAGCAGTGTGAGGAAGCTTCTACACTGAGTATCTTGGGCATGCCTATGGGTATGTGCTGATGGGTTGATCTACCGATCTAGAAACACATCATCTCTTGTGTCTGGGAAGGTGAACTTTGTGCAATTTGAAGACACCCGAGAGCCATAGGGCATCTCGAATTTAAAACATGTTAAAACCATCCCAACTTTCCACCTCGAAATCCAAAGTTTTCTCCGGAAAGGCTCGAGCCAACTTACGAAAGCAAACCTGCCTGACCGTGTTCCCTCCGCCGCAGGTGACAGGGCATTGTGACCATTCATTCCTGGCACGCATCAGGCTTGCATGGCAAATGGTGTTTGGAGTCTCTTGGGGCTCAGCTACTAGGAACAAAGGGCATCGCTACTAGGAGCAAGAAGCTACTAGTAGCTCCTGGCAATACTACTAGGAACAAGAAGCTATTCTTGCAGCATAATATGGTGCTAACTCGGGAAGACTGTTGGACTGGAGGGTTGGATCGTTGCAAGTTTGGGTTGTGTTCCCGTAACATTAAGGAACTGAAGGATGGAATCTGACAAATAACAAAGACTTGTTTCATGGCAACGTCTCTGATGTCAAAATACCAACACCTAACTTGGCTGGAGACGGACCATGTCATACAACAGCAAACGACTTGAAGAGGGTCAGACTGCTCAAGCTGCTTAAATACCTAAGAATGATCCGGCTTCTCAAATTGCAGGTCAAACATAAGCATTCATATGTATCGGGTGAGAGCTGCAAAAGGTGGTACGTAGCAAACAGTAGCAACCTGCCATAGGCCACAAAGATTCGCCAATGGAATGAACGGTCTGGTGATATTGTGCATTCGTTGCACTTCTGAGGCCTTTCAGCCTCCCACTTGTCGCATTACACCCAGTCCTTCGTCACGCGTGTCGCACGCGTCGTGAGGGTCGACCCTGTAAGCGACGCCCAAGTGACCATTGGCTCAGCTTGCAATCGGCATGATGGTGGATACACCTGAGCCGCTCTTGGTCGAAGGAGTCAGTCATAGAAGAAGTTCAGGCAAGATGGTGTTGTTCGTTTGTCTGGGATGTAACAAAAGCACCAGTCACCAGTCAAACTCCCAAAACTTCCAGTCATTGGCCTGACATTCCCAAACAACAAGAAGCTTTACATTTCTTGATGAGTTTTCAAGACACCTAGTGGTCTAGTGGTGGATTCGTGGGTCATCCAAGGGTTGGGTCAGAGTACAACTTGTCAAATTGTAGATACAGTATTTCAAGTCAATACCACAGACTGTTTCAGTACCATGAAACATCCTCAATGACAGACTGCTGTTCATAGATGGAAGCCTGGATGTGACATTTTTTCATGGGCACTGAAGCGTGTAATTGTAGCTAGGCTCCACACTCACTTGGCGGCTGTTCATTGTATCTAGGATGGCACCTGAAGGCATGAGGCAGTTGTGCCTTTGTGGGCACCTGCTAACACCAGGGTTCGCCAAATCTCCAAAGGAACATGATGATGTGGAACACAGGCCACCGCTATCAACACCTACGTATATGATCTGGTTCATGGATGCAACCATCTGGTTCAAAATGACTCACACGAGTTCTGGTGCAGATGCGAAGGCAGATTATCCACAAGCTAATCAAGCATAATCAAGCTATAATTGTTTTAAAATCCGCCCGCACCGAAGGTGCTGGGGCACGTGTATCTGGATGGCATAGTCAATTGCAAGAATTGAGCTTTAGCTGGGGGGGGCCGTATATTTGGGCAAGAAACCTGAGTTTTTTGAAGGTTGTTGAAAATCGAGTGCAAAAAAAGTTGTAAATAACGGCATTTGATGCTGGTTTGGGGGACAAGCAAATTTTCGAGGCGTTCTTGAAAATTAAAAAGCCATGTGTCTTTTTAGATTCGGTCAAAAATAGTCAGGTAGAACCGGCATAAACAAACATAGCTGGCAAGGGGTTCGCATTAGCCAGGTAGAGCTGGGACGGTGGCACACCAGTACAACTATATGACACAACGGCAATCTAGGAAAGCAAAGTAAACAGCAAAACAGTTGAAAGACTATAGCTGGGTTCAGGAGAGAGCCCTTCATGGATGTAGTTTCTGGTTTCCAAACCACAGGTATGCCGTGTAACATCGTGTAGGCCAAAGCCCATGACATTTCTCCCGGTGCGGGCAGACCTAGCCGCGTAGCGGCGCGAATAACGGAGCAGTGTCAGAATCTCTTGTAAACCCTTGCATCTTGCACTCAAATGGGTTGGTTGAAAAGAATAGCACCTGGCAATTGATTACATCTGCAGGTCAAAATTCAAGACCCATGGAACAATTTCTTCGGAGTGTTCTTCAATGTTCCTCCTCATACGACTGGGGATCCAGGGATGTTTGACTATGTTGACTATGTTTGACTCACATCCATGTCCTCATCCTACATGAAAACAAAGGACCCAGGAATGGCAAAAGAGATCTTAACTCACTGGGCTTCCCAGCGGCTCGACCTGCTTCAAGGGCATGTGGCCCACTGGCCTTGGGATCGACAGATCGATTTCCTGTTCGCATCCGCAAGTCCTCCCGACGTCAGGAAAAGAAAGAAGCTACTAGGAACAAGTGCATCGCTACAGTACTAGGAGCAAGGGCCTTACTAGTAGTAACAAGAAGCTATTAGAAACAAGAATAAGAATGGAAAAGGATGCTCTGTAAATCCTCAAGTCCTCGAATCGCCCATCCCACAACTTTGACCGTGATAGCCTTCGTGACTGGATACTGATGTCAGTGAGCATGCAACCATGTGCATGCTGAGCATGCAGAAGATTCCAGTGCCCATGTGTGATCTGAGGTCATCCTGTCATTAATCCAAACAACCTAGCACCTGGACCAGGTCGCATGCGACCTCTTTGTGCTTCTCTCTGGGGACCCGACCGTCCTTGGCCAGTATGATATTGTTCAATGATCCTCGCAGTGGCGGACTGCGAGATGAATGAAACAGGGTTGGAATCAGAAAAAACAAAAAAGAAAACTGTTTCTTCCCATGTATCGGTAGGTCGGCATGGGTCTTTTTGTGCTCGTTAATGTGTCGCTTGGAGATGACCAGCACTCAAACACACCGTGGCCTCTGCCTCTCTCTGATACCAAAGCCTGGGTTCAATGTGGCTGGCGGTCTCTTTGGGCAGCTATCAATAGGATTCAAGAAGAGTAGCAGACTTGTGAGGGATGTTCAAAATTAGCTGTCTCCAAATGGACCACATGGGATGTTTGATGATTTGGGTGATTCCCCGCGTACAAGATAGCTCTCCGGCGTTTCAATCACCAACATCGGTGTTTCAATGATGCTTACGTAACACCGAAGCAATGGGCCTATCCAAACACTGAGGGCCGGAGATTGTTCCATCCTGCTGTTGCCAAGGCAAAGGCCAAGCTGGTCAACATTGCCGTGGACACAAAGTGCCCCCCTCAAGCCAAGTCGCAGGTGCAGCTGCAGTCGGACCATGTGTTCCTGCAGAAATGAAGCAAAGGATGAAGCAGGAGATCAGAAGTGTCATTTTGGGGAAGTATTTGGATCAACCTCTAAATCTAAATCTCCCTTTGCTGAGTCTCAAGCAAAATCTTGTTTGAAATGAAGGCGTGATCAAATCTTGGGCCTCCTTACCCTTTTCAAAAAGGTGGAAGTGTTGGGGCAAGTCGCAGCCAGCTGAAAAAGTGGAGACAACTATAAGAAACCATTTCAAAAACAAGATGCTTTCCCTCTGCGCAAGTGTCCCGCAGATGAACAATCTTGAGTACGTGAGTACGTTGCACTGAAAGAGATGAATACCCAATGTTTCTGAAGCACAGAAACATACTCATGACGTATGTCATGACTCATGACCATGACAAGAAAATTGACTCATGTGGCTCCCCGGTGATTGTCCCTCCCTTTTGAAAAAGCCATGGCCCCCCGGCCATTCTGAGAGCCGTCCATCGCGGTCACCACAGGCGGGAGAGCCCATGTTGGTTCCTGCATCGATGGTGGGCATTGAACGGCTTGTCTCGTTATTTTCACCAATGCATCTAGGTCTATGGCGTCTACGGCTTTTTGTGGACATATGGAGCTTCAAAAACGTCAAACAGCACTCATGGAGACATGGAGTAAGTCAGAACTAGCTTCAGATTCCGTCTCAACCTTCAGCGCGTCTTCAAACTGCACTGGCCTTTGACGGTCTCTGACGCTCTCTGAGGCCTTTAAAATGCAACAAAACCACAAGCTTCCATGCCATTTGCAGCCAATCCTTGGCAAATGTCCCAGTCTGCAGCATGACCTGCAGGCTGTTCCAAGGTGCCCCATGGCGGCAGAACAACAAAAGAACAAGGTGGGTGTCCAGGACTATATATCTGCAAGCAAGATGGATAGGTCTTGCACAGTTGCACACAGCGCGAAAATGGTGGCGTTCAAAACTACTTGCTGAAGCCGGAGCGTGTCGGAGTATACAATGTCCTTTTGTGATGTCCTTTCCAGGAGGCTTCTGGCGCCTGTGGCCGCTCGACCACAGGAGGAAGCCTGCCTCAGGAGCAGTGCTGGTCTAACCGGAAACGTGTTTGTTGGAATGCCTTCTTGACCACAAAAGATAGCAGCTTTCTTGTCGAGGAATGAGAATCCCCTCACCACGCTGTCTCGGTCATTTTGGGGGCGATGGGCGACGGGACGGCAAAGTCAGTCAGACCTCCTTGCCGCTCTGGCCATCCACCCCATCTCAAAGCCTCTTGGAAAGTAGGGTCAGCTCGAAATTGACAGTGAAACCACCCATGACGCATAGAGGCATCTAGTAAAAGTAAATCTCATCAGAAAGTTCACTCCAACAAAGAAATAAGGCTTGATCCAATGAGGTTGTCAAAATTATAAACCTTGCATGGCATACAGTTGCCTCATATTTACACTGAATCACTAAGAACCAAAAGCCTCGGTCTACCAAAACAAGAAGGATTTGGAGCCATCAGTCACCACGTGAGCCCTAGCCGATACCTCAAAGAACCTTTCAGTTGAAATGATACAGTGCCAAGCTCCATGATATGGTGCCTGGGGTCCTTCCTGGCTGTATTTCCTCCCATCTCCACATACACCAGATTCTGCCCAATCCCTAGATACATCCAAAATACACGGCATGACTTCTGTGGCGAGCCCTGGCCGTGCAGGTGAGGTGAGCTGGATGCAAACAGGTGGATGAGTCTCAAGGACGGGAGAGGATGGGACCTGCGGGTTGCAACAAGCAAGAATGCTCCTAGTAGCGATGCCCTTTGCTCCTAGTAGCGTCCTTGTTGTCACAGCAAGTAAGAAGAGATGGACTGAGATCAAGCGGATCTGATGCCACTGTGGCATGGTCTCTTCTTGGTCGATGTCTTCATATCAAAGAAGGACGCCGGACACTCGGCAGTCAGTTTTGTGCCCACTAAATCAAGGCAAGAGGGGCTGATACATCCTATATACAGTAATACTTACTATGTCTTATACCCTGTGTGAAATCGTCATTCTCCGTTTGGTCCCAAAGGTGGTCCCGAAGGTCCCTCCCTTCGGCTGCTCACGAGTCCAAAGAAGAAATCTGCTCTCCAATCTGTCAGTTTCAGAACATGTGGACGAGGGAAACTGCTGCTGTTGCACCCCTGCCGCATGATACCAGCACCCAACATGTCCGTTGGAGCAAATGTTCAATAGAACATACTGAACATACACTGAACACCATGGCCGTCTTTTGGAGGGCGAGTCAAGGGTTGAGGGTGTGACAGCTGACAGGTGGGAGGCCATCCCTATTCGGTTGGAGGCCTAATATTTTCTAGAACACCCTCAACACATCCGTGATGGCACCACGTGAGATTCTACCAAACCGCATGCGCACTGCCTGAAGCCATAGCCGCAGCTGGCGGAGCACTTGGTCCAAGGGGTCCATTCTGCAGGACACGGGAGGCTACATCGACAAAAGCAATCTACCAAGAAGAGGGTTGAGTTTTGAAATCAATCGTGTAGTCACGATACATCACCATACTAACTAACCACTGCAAAATCAACCTGTTTTGGTGATTTGGGTCAGGCTTCAGGAGCTCTCTATAGTGGACGCGATGTTGCTGAAATGAAAAATGCAGAAGTGGAATGAAGTGGATGGAGCTTTTGTGAACAATTTGGTACCACATGCCAACATAACAAAAGAAGCAGAGGCCTTACACTCGATCAAATCGCATCTTGCCAAACGAACCATAAAATCATCAGCTTGTCTATCAACGTCATCATGACATTCTGCCCAGCCCTCTCTGTCCAAACAGGTCAGTAGAAATCAAGCTACCCCTACTAGTAGCGTCCTTGCTCCTAGCAGCGATACCCTTTGTTACTAGTAGCTTCTTGCTCCTAGTAGTAAGGCCAGGAGCTACTAGTAGCTACCCCAAACCGCTGTTTGGTCACCCCCATTTTGAGACATACAACAACCGTCCCTCGCCTGCCCAGCGAGCATCCACGCAGGTCTGCTCACAGTCCATGGTGTTACACTCAGCCGCCTCGGACCTCACGGTGGGACGATGGGTCCCGGTGGCTTACCTACAACATCCCTAGCGTGATCTGTCTTGACCCATGTCACGTGACAGAACAACTCAAGAAGCTGAATCTAGTCATTACAATTGGCTTGTTCTTCTTGTTGATCTTTTGTGGAGTGGCCCAAATTTCTTTCCTGTCTGTGTCAGGTCAAGACTCCTGTGTTTCATGTTTATCAGACCTCTTTGGTTCCCAAGTGATCACCTTTGGTCTCTCTAGATATATTAGCGGACCAGGCACCTGAAAAACGAGGTGTTCATCTACTCCCACTACAGGACCCCAGTCTGTAGAACACGCACCCATTTCAAGCAGAAAGGAAGAAGGTGCTTTGGCATGTTTAACAAGGTCCCTTTAGCGGTCCCTTTAGCTTAAAAGTTGCCTTTTTAAAAGGGCCCTTACCTTCTGGTTTTCTCTCAGAGTCCGTTGTTTGACATTTAACTTAACTGGTTCATTCTACATGTGCATATATTACATATATATCATGCATGCATACATACGTACGTACAGACATGCATACCATAACATATAGAACATAACAGTACATTACATTCAGCATCAACATCAACATCAACATTAAGATTGAACATAAAACATAAAACATTAACATACATACACATACATACCCATATATCCCGATATTTGCCAATAGATGCCAATACATCCCATTACATCCCATCACATACCACGACGTACCATTACCTACCATTACATAAAATTACATTACATTACACGACATTACATTTATGTTGGGCAATGGCGGCCATGCATAACCAACCATCAAATAATCTGTTTGTGAAAAAATGCGCAAAAAACAGCAAAACAAACACAAATGAAAATACAAAAGCAGCGCAATTTGCTTTGTGTTTGCATTTGTTTTGCGTTGTTTGCTTTTTTCCTGGTACCACTTCTGCACTTATGAGAACTTTTGCCCATCAGCAATATTTGCTGTACGCTCCTAGGAAAAAAAGCGAAACAAAGCGAAAAACATGCGAAAAAATAAAAAAAGCGACAAACACGCACAGCTATATGTTTTTGCTTTCTTTAT